CGCCACGCTCTAACGTCCTTCAATTCTATTTGCGATGTATGGACAGCCACAAAAATGCTAGACAAATAAGATCGCGTCCCTACGCTTGACTCTCAAAACAAAAGCTCTGCAATATTAATATTGGCACGGCAGTGCTTGTATTTCAGATTACTTTGGGTATGCATAACTGTTAATTTTCAAACTGGTTCTGACAATAAAGAACGAATTTCTACCGTTGAGGCACAAAGTATATCCAAACAGGGTTATTTTCTTCATACACTGTTGAAATGTACCGGGTAGATGAAATTTCTGCTCCAGCAAGCATTAACTAGTAAGACAAAATCGATTTTAAATAAAGGAATGGGCTGTCCGTTATCACAGGCACTAAACATAATTTTTTACTTAAATTTATCAAAGCGCGCTAAATAAAATGTTAAGAAGGTATTACCTCTGTTAGCCACCTCTGCAGTAAGCCCTGTGAGTTTTCATCTCTTGGCTCTGATCTCTGAGTTTTGCCTGCACGAGGATAAAACAAACGTTAGCGTAAAACAAATTAAGAAAGTATCGTGAAAAGTCACCAACTCTTGCATTAACTTTCAACTGGAGTAAAAGTCTTTACCTGGGACACAGGAACAAAGCTGAAAGCTCGTAAGAGCGAAGATCATCAAAGAGAAGACTTCGAGGTTTGCAGTATTCATGTTGGCGGTAAAATGAAAATTTGAATTGCTGTAACGGGCTTATAACCCCTGAAATTGATACTTATCAAAACTGTAGCCTTATTGACAGCCGGAAATGCTGATAGGGCAGTAAGGGTGTCTCAAACCAATCGTAACTAGCGTCTTCGAGTGTATGAGCTCCAAAACCAGATGCACTTTCCTGCTCAAAGGAAAACTACTTTAATGAAGCCTCGTGCGATGGTCTTTTTATATTGGAAAAAAAAACCAATTGTTTAAAGGCGTCAAACTTTAAATAACTATTATCCAATGGTAAAGCCTGAATTCGTTGTTTCCTTAGAAACCAAAAACACAGGAGAATCCGGCCCTCAGTAAAAACTGATCAAAACTGGCTTATAGTATAAACTGATAAAAATCAGTTTCCATTAGCATTAACGATTACTGAGTTTCAAACGATTTGATTTGAAAAGTGCCAACTGCTTTCTTAGTATTTCAGCATTGTTTTCATTCTTCCAAGATATCGTCATATAAGCCAAAGCCGAGTTCCTTTATGAGGGGCCTAATGACGTAAATAGCATTGGCAAAAACTAAAAACACATGCATAAATAAAAAACAATTGGATGCTTAGATAAAAAATTTACTTTCAGTCACAAAATTCCAAAAGCGAAACTGTCCGTTATGTAATGACTTGGAGTCATGGCCTAACGACTTTGCACTTCACCATAGAATTAACGAATCGGTTATTTCTTCGAGAAATAATTATCAAGTTAACAATGAACAAAGATAAAATCTCTTCAGACCAGTTTTTAAGTTTCCTAGGGTCATGGTAGTCAGGATTATCGCTGACCTCTCTAATCGCCTCGGGCTAAAACCGTTGCTTTTTAAATTTAGTTTATTTATAAACAAGGATGAGACACGCAGCTAAGAAAGGGGCCGGCGGAAAACTTTAAATAACAACAGCGGAGGTTTCAGAGATCTTCGAACAATTGCAAGATAGTTAGTATAAAGTAATTCAGTCGCTAGCTCGAACAAGGCATCTGACAGAAAGCATCATTAATGGTGAAGGGTACTTCATAAAGCTGTAATGAAGTGAGTTAATTAAGCCGAGATTAACGGATTAAAATTGATTCTAAATTAAGTGGTATTCAACGTTTTTAAAAAAATGAATGCCGAGCCAGATAGTGGGATAGAAATAATCTGTAACAACACACAGAGCGCCGGCCGTTTAATAAATTGCGCGAGACTTGAATCAGTAGAATCCTGCAAGCTACAAAGCAATGAGTTTTGACTCCGATGAAATTTATCTGATGACAGCATCATTAGGAGTTGAAAAGAAAAAGATAAAACATTGATAATTCTATCTGAACGAACACAGCGCAAACCTAAAGTGACCCTCTATGAAATACAGTCGACTCCCGATAACTCGAACCCTCGCTAACTCGAACCTCGCGCTAACTCGAACCAAAATCGATTTCCCCTGGATTTCCGTCATACATTCACTGTAATTTTATCCTCGGTAACTCGAACTCCCGGTAACTCGAACCAATTTTCGTTTCCCTTCAGGTCATTTTCTATATAATTTTACCCTCGATAACTCGAATCATGTTTTGAGCCCTTATAAAGTCGGGGAAAAAGTCATCTACTGGCGTCCGAAACATTGAATTTTGGATTTCCTATTGACGTGTTGTAGGAGTGTAGTTTACTAGTGGAGGCTAATGTTGATTGTCACAGCCTAACGTGAAGCAGCTTTTCTTCTCGTTCTGATTTATAATCTACAAGTATCTTTTAATTTTCACTTGACATTTCTACTATTAAATGAGATTAAAATGTTCACTGTGCAGTAAAGACTGTTTTTTTACCTTTCTCTCGGCTATTTTCTTCGAACTCCCGGAAACTCGAACTCGCGATAACTCGAACCTTTTTCCATTTCCCTTGAAGGTTCGAGTTATCGGGAGTCGACTGTACTTGTAAGATTATTGCTCCTATTTTTGTTTTTACGTATTTTTTGCTACTTAGTTTTTAGTGTAACCCCGTTATACGGTCACCAATGGTACTGAGTTGGCCGTGTCAGCAGGCTCAAATTTTATCAACCTCGTCCCCAGGGCTTTTCCCAAAAAAAAATGGGTGGGGCGGGAAAAGGCCCTGGCATCGGCTGGTCACGTACACAGCCTAAATATTCCTGAGAAGCTAATTTATATGCAACCCGCTGGTTTTGCGCTGACAGAAGGGAGTAACAATGGAAAATAATAGCAACGCGAACTATGTCAATATGTTCGCGTGTATGCGATTCAAAAGCTTAAGATCCATTTAATTGCACGTCCAATTTTGGCGAAGATTTGTCAAAGAAAGCGCAGCAGAGACAGAGAAAAACAAATTGCGCCACCATTACTTTATTTCCGTCATCAAGATTCTCTCATAGACTTGTTTTACAAACTCCCGGCCCCTATTTTACAAAATTTCGTCATTTTCCGAATTGGATATACGGCTCGATATAGCTGAAACAGTACCGGGTTGTATCCGATCTAATTGGCAGTACTCGGACGTATTAGTCCCGTTTAAGAACTGCAGAAAACTACTAATACGTAGTTACTCGCCAGACGTACGCATAACAGAGTTCCGGTTCCGGTTTGCATTCCGTTAATTGTCTTTTGTGTGAGTATGTCAGGACGTTTCAGTTACTGATCGTTACTTGAAAAAAAAATTACATTCAGTTTAATCAACCATGCAGTTCACTGGAATATTTTTTACTATAGTTACAGTGGTGTTGCAATAGCGTGCCTTTCAACCCAAATTTTTCTTTCTCGTGACGAGAGAAAAAAATTTTTTCCATGAATTAACGAGTCCTTCATGCTGTTAGTATTTCAATTTAGTTGTATCAGTAAATTGTAACGCGGGTCACATCTCGTTTATTCAATATTTACTGCTGCAGACTGTCGAGATTGGCCTCACTACGAATTTAGTAACTCTTAGGAACCAAGAGCCATAATGGCTCTTGTTAGGAACCAAAAAGCACGTACTGATTCTGAAATTCTAGTCCTTCGATCGAGTTACTTGTGGTCTCACGTTAAGATGATGTCGCAGATGTCGCACTGAAATGTTTAGTCAGTTTTGATTTGACAACTTTGATGTGCCTTCACGATGCTTTGATTAAGTAACAAACTATACATGTACAAGCTAATACAGTACATTGAGCATAATACACTTTTCGCCTGCATGTGCAGTTTTGATTTTCTGTTCATTTGTTTCAATGAGAAATATTTTTGGGTCGGAGATGCAAAGTGGTACTGATTTCCATGTTTACCTTCCGGTTGGCAGAGAATTTGAGTCCAAACAACTACACTGACGTCAAAAGTTACTTCACCTGACGTATATAGGGTTTAAGGTAATAACTCACTCAATGAAGTTTTGATGATGATCATGAACTACCCACAAACTTGTGTATGAATAAACATTTTTAAAAAACTGATTCGTGTTTACATTTCGTGAGTCGCATTTTTGAAGTGAAGCGTCTTCTCCAATGGAAACTTGCTTGGGCAAAAGAGAATGCTAAATATACTGTAAATATTCAATCCGTCGCTCGATCGATCTCAGGCAAATTTTTAAGAGTCATCTATGCTTGATTAAGGCATCGTCTTTTATTTAACATTAACTATAAAAATTATTAGGAATCAACAAGAAAAATATAGTATTTTCTCTTGGAATCAACAGCTCGCCTTGGCATTTTCAGTCATGCATTTTGTGATTGTTCTTCCCTTGAAAAAGTAAATAAATAAATAAATAACATTTAAAAAGTAAAACCAATTATTCAAAAAAGGTATCCTAGTTTACTTTCAGTAAAGGAGTTTTACTTGCGTAATCTGCGGTTTCAATACGATTGGTTTACGTAAAAACAATATAGCAAATGTTTTAACGGTTCTAAGTACGTATCTTCCTGAAAATTCAGTGGCAACTGAGTCGGTCGAGTGATTCTTGTTTCTAATTTACAAAGGGAGTCCTCTCACTTCATAACTATAATTTTTCAGCACAATGATGTTTAGCCAGACGTAGCACACCGATAATTAGCAAAAAATAAGAACACTAAACAAATTCCTAAGCAATGCCTTAGATACTCCTAGGCCGGAAAATCCGATTATGATTAGGACTGAAGAATTGGTGATCAGGTTTACCACCATTAAACTTGAACTTGCGACGGGAAAATCACTTAGCTCGGCGGGCCAGAAGTGGAGGAAAAAGCAAACAGTCGAAACCTTGATTGCAAACCGACAAGGGGAAACACCTTTTCTGAAGTAAAAAGAGATTGTCCGGTAACTTTGTGAAATTACATTAGAGGAAATAAAAGTATATAAACTGGGTCTCTTTAGTGTCTGGTTAGAGTTGAGTCTTCATCACACACTAACAGCATTCTTACAACAAGTTGAACTGACCGAAGATAAATTAACCATGCTGCTTTGTAAAAAGGTGAGCTTTGAGCCTGAAAAGGCACCTTATTCAGCTACTTATTTTATTCAGGATTTTGACTAGTGCTAGTATAACTTGCCTTCTCACGAGTAGGTAAGAGTTTGCGGAGTTGAAAACATGTTAGGACATGAGGTTAGAGTTTGCAGTTGAAAACACGTATTAACGGCTCTTGGTCCGTGATTGGTTTATCTTTGAGAAAGGATGGATCACATCCCCTTCAATCCGTTTTGACTGATCTCTCGGATAAGGGAGACGATATGGCCCTTCTTAAATAACCCGCTTTATGAGACATCTACATCTGAAGGTAGCGCATGTTTTTGTCATAGACATCTGAATGTTTCTCTATCTATCATGCAGCACTTAATCTAGAAAGGTCGAAGCATTAATATCCACTCGTTTTGTATATGCTTGCTTCTAAAAAAAGACATGTTACTTTAATGATACGCCTCTCAAAATAAAACCATATCTATTCAGTAACTTATTAAGAGTTCTAACCAATTGATGTGTTTACTTTTTTCAGCTTTTCGCTCTGGCAGTGTTTGCAGGTGTCATTTCTCTGTCTCTTGAATTGACCTGCCCTGAATTTCGCCAAAAACCACAAAAAACGCTCATGCGTCTGCGACGACATTTTCTTTTCGTCGAGAAACCGTTCACCACGCCGCAGTCACCTGCAACCGCGAATCCCCGCCGTGTTAGCCGTGACGTCACCGTGCAAACGCCAGGCACCTCAAAGTGCTCCTGGAGCTGGGCCCAAGATGACAACCCAGATCGTGTCCCACGGTTCCTGTCCAAAGCTGTGTGTCCTGATTGTCCTCATTACTGCCGTTCAGTGTTATATTATCACAGGGGACTGGTGCAGAGATGTGACCTATCAACAGGACAAACTGTCTGGAAATGGACTTTAGTGGAACTGCCAGTGGCATTTGTTTATGATCCATAAAATGATGTCCATTGATATTTGTAGTGCACCTAGCTTATCCCAAAATATGTAAATTACGACGGTGATATAAGATATAGCCTATAGTGAGTTTAACAAATAGTTAAAATTTTTAAGGTAACGAAATTTAACAATGTACTTTTTCTTCTGGCAAGAAATATTTTTTATACAACATATTACTTATTTATGTTATTTAAAATTCATTCACCATTGCCTGAGAAATTTACATAAAGAAGAATTATATTTATTGTTATTAGATAAAATATTATTTATTACCACTGAGATCTGTACGAGTGAAATTTATTTATTTGAGAAATTAAAATAGAATGATGAAGAAAATGATCTTGCTTGGACAATTTGAAATAGTTAATAAACAGTTGAAACAGAAAAAAAAACTGAGGATTAAATCTGGGGCAAAAATTGTAAATTCCCCCATTTGCCTATTTATTTCCAACCCTTTGGAGATGGACCAAGAGTTTCATTACTGAAAATATGCTTATTTCCCAGCGACAATGGATCGGAAGTGCGATTGTCAGAAAATAAGCTACGACAGAATCGAACGATTTAGTTCGGTCTGACCGTAGGCGGACTTATAAGAGTAATAAGAGAACAATTTCCGCAGGTGTATCATCCCACCAGTCCAGAAATTCCGAAAGTATGCTCAGGTAGTAAACAAACAAGTCAAAGGACTACAAGGAACTACAAGTCGTGAGACAACATTACCCGCATGCATTGCAGTGCCTTCGCAAGGTTAGATTCATAGGGGGGGGGGGGGGGTAATCACGAGCGCCGAGGGGGTTAGGAAGTCCGTGCGCATGCTCCTCCGGAAGATTTTGAAATGTAGGGTCTCTGAAATAGCATTTTCAACCTTTCGAGAGCATTAATTTCCTGCAATTTTTAACTGACTGAAATCATTGATCGGATATGTTACTTCAACGTTGTACGCTTCTTATGAAAAGGTTTATTACCACAACTTGTCAGCATTGTATGACAAATTAACCACTTACCTACATAGACTAGGACAATAACATTTCTTTGCCTCATTCGGATGTTTGATTCGGCATGGAGAGCAAAGACAACTTCCAAGGCACATCGTTTGCGGTGACTTTTCCAAACAACTGCATTCTGTTTTCAGGTTGTCGCCGGTCGAACCACGCTGGTTGAAAGGAACACTTCTTTGTATTGTTTCCAAAGATTTTTTTGGGAAAGTTGAAGCTTTTTGGTTGATTGGGACCTTAACTTGTGACAGTGATGCCAGATCCACCGGGGCCAGTAAACCAGGTTCTTGTCCTGTTTTTAATGCTTGAATTCGCTCGTATGGCAGATGTTGTCAGAAAACGAAACCATGTTTTGTGACACTTAGAACTTTTTTCAGTTTCCTCTTTCCTCTTTCGACAATCTTTCGACCTGAAAAAAGTTTTAAGTGTCACAAAACATGGTTTCGAAGGTTGGTTTCATGATTTAATAATAATAACAATCTTTTAATAGGATGCTCCATCACAAGAGTGGTTTACATAGAGGTCCTAATTACGAGATGTATATTATATAATACAATTAAAATATAAAAAGGTTAAGCTAAAATCGATATATATGATACAAAAAAAAAAAAAAAAAAAAAAAAAAAAAAATATTCAAGCTAAAATCGAGTTACAGAAATAATTAAAACATACACACTACAAGTACTCAATTATAAAAAGCAGAAAAAAGACACTTCTTAAAAATTGGAAAACTTGCTGAGTTTCTTACAGTTCTCTCTAATTCATTAAAGTCTTTGAAACAGTGGTACCATGAACGTTGTTTTCCCCAATTATATTTAATTTTGGGGAGCTTGATAGTATCGTTATTGCGCGTATTGTAGGAATGTATATCACTCTTTCTTACAATGTCCAAAGAATGATTAAGTTGGCCATTAATACACTTGTATGCATATATACATCGATGACATTTCCTACGTTCTTCAAGATTCAGCCATCTCAAGACAATCAATGCATCGGTGGATGAGGAGTGAGGTGATCTATCTAATATCAACTTAGCTGCTTTGTTTTGGAGAATTTGCAATTCCTTCATAAGTGAGACATTGTCCTTGTCACCCCAGACTAAATCAGCATAATCAAAAATAGGTAGCACTAAGCTATTATAAAAAAGTAACCGGGCATCATAAGGTAAATAATACTTAATCCTACGTAGAAGACCAAGGTTTTTATCAACCTTACATGAAATATACTCAATATGGTCGGACCATGTGAAAGTTGAAGACAACATAACTCCCAAATATTTAAAACTACTTACAGAATTTATATCAGTGTCAAAAATAGATAACGTGAAAGAGGAAATACCAACAAGTTTCCTATTACTGCCTATAATCATGGATTTCGTCTTAGTAAGATTTAAAGTTAACTTATTTCCATGTAACCACTGGGCAACTTTCAAGAGATCATCATTCAGTGCCTCTTCTAACAGGTGTGGCTCTTTAGCAAAGTAGTACAGGACCGTGTCATCAGCATACAAAGTCACTTCGCAATTCTTTTATAACCAGCGGAAGGTCATTAATATAAACCAAGAAGAGAAGCGGTCCTAGAATGCTCCCCTGTGGCACCCCAAAGGTCATCGGGAGAGGGTCAGACACAGCATCGCTACAGGCAGTCCGCTGTTTACGATGATTCAGGTAAGACTTGAACCACTGTAGAGTGCTGGGCGAGACATCGATAGCCGACAATTTAGATAGCAAGATCGTATGGTCAACGGTATCGAATGCCTTGGTCAGATCTAGGAACACTGCACCGCACAGTTCTCCTCTCCATATGCAATAGGACCTCATCTGCAAAACTGGTGAGAGCCGATGTTGTAGACAGTTTGGGACGGAAGCCAAATTGTTTGCTTGAAAGGAGATTATTTGAATTCAGAAAGTCATAGAATTGGGAATGGACGACTTTTTTCCAGAATTTTACTCATTGTTGGCAGAATAGAAATTGGGCGATAATTTGACGCATCTCTCCTATCTCCAGTTTTGAAAAGTGCAGCCACTTTCGAGCATTTCCATATTTCAGGAAAATTGCCAGTGCGAATAGAGAGATTCAGTAACTTGGTGATCGAGGGACAAATAGCACGCGCGCCACACTTTAAAAGTCTCGCACTGATGTTGTCCAAGCCAATAGCTTTATTTGTCTTTAGAAAAAGCAGATGCTTGAGTACTGTTTTCTCATCAACTTCGTCAGGCGAGAAAGACTGTAGCATCGTGGCCGATCTGACTGGGAACATAGCAGCAGCTGATATTTTATTTGCAAGACTTCTGCCAATGGATGAGAAATAACAGTTGAGCACGGATGCAATAGAGGCTGGGGTGGTGTGTTCAACACCATCAACTACGATACATTGTGGGCTCGAGGATTTAGTCTTGCGCGAAGACACCTCATTCACCGCCTTCCAGATCTTTCCTGAATCCCCTTTAGCCTCTAAAATCAAGTCACAATAATACTTGGATTTTGCTGCCTTGACTTCACGATTGACCCTATTTTGTCATGTCTTGTACTGATATATTAATATTAATATTATAGTAAGATGTCAATTTCAACCACAAGACATTAGCAACTTTTAGAAAAATAGTAAGTCATCTGCTTTTGGGAAAATTTGCTATGAGCTGCAGTGTGAACTGGAATGCATCTGTACTAAAAAGCAAATAAATTATTGTTTTACCATGAATTAATTAACTGATCAGTCCACCTCCAACCTCCCCTATAGTTTGCAAGCTCAGCATCATTGAGGAATAAACAATAAATAGGGAACTCAAACATTACTATTTACACTTTTATTGAGGAAACCACTAGTTCTTTTGGAAGTTCACAAATGTCCAGTGCTGGCCACAAGATCCCTACTTTCCTTTTTCATCCTTAGTTCCACACTTCTCAGAGGTGTGGAAGTGTAGAAAAGTCTGTCAAAGTCAGGATAATGTCACACTTTTTTTAAGAACCCCATTCTTTAAGAACCCTTGTCATTCTTTACAAAGTCGGGTTCTACACTTTTCCCCTGTTCAGAACCCCTTGTCATTCTTTACTTAGTTCTACACTTCTCAGAGGTGTGGAAGTGTGGAAAAGTCTGACAAAGTCGGGATAATGTCACACTTTTCCCCCTGTTAAGAACCCCTTGTCATTCTTTACTTAGTTCTACACTTCTCAGAGGTGTGGAAGTGTGGAAAAGTCTGACAAAGTCGGGATAATGTCACACTTTTCCCCCTGTTAAGAACCCCTTGTCATTCTTTACTTAGTTCTACACTTCTCAGAGGTGAAGTGGGGAATAGTCTGACAAAGTCAGGGGAATAGTCTGACAAAGTCTGACAAAGGATAATGTCACACTTTTCCCCTGTTAAGAACCCCTTGTCATTCTTTACTTAGTTCTACACTTCTCAGAGGTGTGGAAGTGGGGAATAGTCTGACGATGTGGTGTGCAATGCTGTTAATTTTATTTAGTACTATAACGATCTCAGTTTCATTTAATAGGTCGTCGGCCAGAACACTGAAACTTATTTTAATCTTATCACTGACTGAGCTATTTAATCACGGTAATTAATCCTTTGGCGGCATATAAGTGCATTCAAGCATGAAGCGATATACAGACGTTTTGATGTTGTCATATGACCTCTTTGTGTTTCACCTACAGATTGACACAGACGTTTGCGAGCAGACCTTCTCTTGGCTGTCAAAATATGCAAAAATGACAAGGAAAATGAACAGAGGACACTTCGTCTTTTTCATAATTTATGTCCAGCATTTACATAACCTTAGAGAAGAGGAAAAACTGAGAAACAGTGGATATATGGCGTGATCTAACAATGATCAAATTTGAACCCTTACTGATAAGGAAGAAAGCATGGTTGGTGATCGGATTTCTTAACTTTAAGTTTCTTTCAACAGCTGGCATTGAAACAATGGTTATATCTGCTATTCAAAATAAAAATAGTTCTTAAGGAAGAATGTGAAAAACCATACAGAAATAAAACCAAGTGCTCA